TCATGTATAATACATGTATTATATCTTAATTTTTCATATGACGCATTATTTGATGAAATTTACCAAAACTATATTTTTTGAGAAATTTGAGAAAAAACATACAAAAAAGACGACATGAAATCCTGTCAGGATTAGAAAGAATATATAATCTGCCAAAGAATCCATACTTACCGTTCATAAGCTTCTACAAATGTTCGACAAACATCTTCGGAAACTTGTCGGTGATGCCCCATGTCTCGCCTGTTTCCTACAATCAGTACTGGTATATTGCTCGGCACATTGTCCAATTCTCTGATAACATAGTCCCATGTCCTGAATTACAAATAAATATATTATTCTTTACCAACAAATTAAAGAAAGAAATAGGACGGAATTACTACTATAATGTGACTCATTTAGAAGACCCTTTCCTAGGCCATATCTGAAGTACAATTATGTTATTGAAAGAATAACTGTTGTCATTAAATGATTCTTATGTAAAAGGTACCAGCTTTTAGTAATATCAAACATGAGTATAACTCCATTGGCACCCTTGTACACATCAACGAATTGTGCATCACAAGCAACTTCTATGAACTGAAAACAAATATGAGAAGAAGGAATAATTCCAGAGATGGAAGTAATTAAGTGGATGAATCAAAGAACGAGATAATACTTCCGACTCTATATTTTTCAGCTTTAAGCCATCTGGTTTTATGCGCTTCTTTGTGCTTTGATCAACTACATCCCATACATCTACTTTGACAACGTCATCTGTTGCACGATAATTCCATTGTATGGATGCTACCTAAACAAACTATTATCGGCAAAAAATATGATAACAGAGAATGTTAATTTAATTTTTTTTTTTACTCATAATTCATTAACCATTGCAATTTTCTTTTGAAGAATCTTAACTTCATCGTAACAACAGAATAAAAGCGTTCCCATTAATCAACCATAATATAGAAACCTGTATTTCATTAGTTGGTGTGTAATCATCCAGAAATGGCAGACCTTGTAAACGTCGCCATAAACAAGTTTTTCCAACACTTCGATCGCCACGTATTACGATTTTCACTGCAATCATAACCGCTTATATCAAAAAATTGATCTTATAATCGATATAATGGATAGAAGTAAATAAAGAAACATGATACAGACATCCATAAAAAAATATCACTTCGACTCATGTTAACATTCGTTTCCGTGAAGTGATTTGGAAGCTTTGAAGAATTGCTAAAAAACCATTGTTTAGTTGAAATTTTTAAACAATCAGTGCATTTTAAAAGAGACGATATGTACTATTTTTTTATATCAAAACATTTATCAATAAAACACTTACTATTATACTGTACTCCTTTCGCATACTTCCTTTGTAGCTCTTGGTCAAGAGCAGCGATACCATGTGGCATACGATCAAGCTCATTACCTCCATAATGATCAGTGTTATCTATTCCACCAAATTTTTTTTTCAAAGCTGATATCATTGTTATCAATTGTATATATATATATAATTCAGTGTACAGTTATGATCTTGTTGACACTGGCAATAAAATATTGTTGACTGGCAAAGTACAGATCAAGGCTTTTTCTGTATTTTTGAAATTCTATTATTCAGAAGATATTTTGATCCAGTCTCATGCCAATAGAAAAGATTATCCTCTAATTCCTAAAAAAAATAGAAAATTTTAGGATAATTGTTCGATGCAATACGTCGAACATATGTATCTCCTAAAAGAACGGAACATGCATCAACTTCCTTCATTTAATTATCCCATGACCGTCACCAACGTTCGGAACCATATTTTCCTTTCATCTATCTGCTAAGCAAGAAAACATATTCCGAATATAAGCTCAAGGTATTGCCACTCCAATATTACATTGACAAATTGAGGCAAAGAACTGCATTCAAAAATATCTCTTCTTGCTCCCAATATTTCTGTGTCGATCAATGAGAAAATGTACCACTTATGAAAGTATTAATTCACTTGGAGATAATGGAACCACAATATATTGAACATTTTTTATTTTGAAAACTTATGATAACAACAAGAAAAAAACTAAGACAATATCGAAGAAGAAAAGAGATTTAAATATATCTCATTCTTTCTTCGAGATCATTTTATATTTAAACCTACAATGCAAGCATGTACAATCTTTATGAAGATGTTTATATTATTGCAATGCAAACATATAAACAGGAAGCATTTCTTTTGGAAAATTCTGCTGTTTCTTCTGGGCTATTAATGTAAGGCCAGCATTTCGAAAGAGTTGCAACAACGCATCCTTAGGACGCGTCCAGCTGTTATCTTCATCATCGAAATCATATCGATCTTCAGAAGAAGTAACGTTTTCCTTTAGAACAATACAGCCATTGTCTTTTAAACCGCCCTGCAAAATAGTTCCGTCCAATCTATGATAATATAAATTTCAATGTTTAAAAAAATTCGCCCAATGTCTAAAAAATTCGATATCAAATAGGTTAACAAACTGAAAATCTTATCTTTTATCTATTCGCTGAAGTTCTATTTATATCCAACTTCAGTCTTACTAAATAGACATCTCCCTATCAATGTGGGTTTGAATAAGAAAGACAGTTTGAATGAATGTATGTCGCGATCTAATAACCTTATTATAAGTAATTAACTTCGTAACATACATTCATCTAAACAGCTGAAAAATTGAAGTTCTAAGTAATCATAAAAAATAAAAGCCGACAACGCAAACAATCAAATCGGTTTTTGCCAGAATCAGTCAACAACAACGCATACAAATAAAGGAGACGCGTGAAACTCGTACTGGAATGATAAAGCGCCAGAACAACTAAAATTAACCGATTTTGACTTATCTATCACTATTTACTAAATGAAATTTAGTTGCTCTGGCGTTTGATCATACCATATCATAACACTTCTGATAGGAGTTTGACGTGTCTCCTTTTATCTCTACACGTTGTTATTATCTGATTCTCGCAAAGACCGATTTTATTGTTTACGTTATCGGTTTTTATTTTTCTCAAAGCTCATCTTACATCATTGGAGGAATTTACAGAATTCCACAGATTTTGATTTATCATTATTTCATACTAGTTTCTTGATATAGTATGACTTTCAGTTAGCTATCAATTAAAGCTCACCTTACATCGTTGGAGAAATTTAGAGAAATCGTTATTTGTTAAATGACCAGTAACCCACTGTATCCATATGAGATCATAATGACAAGATGATGGCTCGAACTGCTGCAAACTGCATATCAATTTATTACCAATCCGACTGTTCTCTTTACCAATATAGTTGGCAGATTCTGGAATAATCTCTGCAGTAACTTCAAAATATTCGCAGGATAATTAAATATTCGAAAATTATCCGTTCTATGTAATAGTAGTTGCTAATAATAATCAATAACCGTCGTTACTGACCAGTATTATTATTCACAACAATGCTATCACCGTTATTAGTTACTGCTACCCTATGTAGCATTTTTCTATACAACCGTTCTTCTATGGATGTTAACAAAGTATGATAAAAAAAAATAATAATACAAGAGTATTATTATTTTTTTATCACACTTTGTTAACATCCATAGAAGAACGGTTGTATAGAAAAATTGTTTCGTAACAAAATATTACAGGAGGTTTCTTGAAATAAAGATTAATAAATAGAAAAAGTAATAAATAGAAATCGGTTTACCTTGAATGAAATTTTCGGTAACGTCCACCATATCCACCGATTCAAACAATGGTAATAAGAGATGCTTAGTAACACGTCCTATGCCACATCCACAGTCAATAGCCCGTTCATACTTTGTCAGCATTCCCTAAATAAAACGGCATTTACAAAATTAATTTACTTCCAACAAAAAAAATGATAGGAAGATTTTGCTCATTTCCACAAATTTCAATCTTTTGCTTGTACGTACTTCTTGTATAAAAAGTTTTTAGACATCTATAAGACTAAATGCAAAGTAAAGCATTGTACCTTCAGTTGTATCATTTTTTTAATGAAGAACTGAATCTGCTAATAGCGGCATGTATATTATGACAAAATGTCTCAGCAATAGAAAAACATCAAACGAACTTTGACTTTCAAGAGATTAATGAATTGTTTTGAAGCACGAATGTCGGGTACATGAAGATGAGCAAAACCTCCAAGCATACCATCAACATTACAAGATACCGTTGCCCAGTAAGCTTTAGCCTCAAATAATTCATTTGGAAAGAAATAATTAATGATCTTTTAGAATGAATAAGAAATTTGATAATGAATACGATACAGAACTTTTAATTGGTATTATCGTCATCTTATTCAACAAAAAGAATTGTAGAAATCAAAGTTTAACGTATTTCCTTTAAAAGTTAAAATTCATGTAACTTTTCATACATGTCACGTTTGAAGCAGTCTCCTGCTATTCTAGTCAAAAATAGCAAATCGCAAGTAATTCTAATTAAAGATTGCAATCTGCACTCATTGTTTTAGTTCAAACAGTTTGTCTTCGTAAATTCATACCCTCTTCATAATATCACATAAATGATGACAAACTGCATTATCTATGAAGTAGACAAACGAATAAAAGATCGATTGAATAAAACTGAACATGTGGCAGGACATGATGGGTTAGAATGAATAACGGTAATATAGGATAGACAAAACAATATTGAGTAGAACTGGGATAATAATCAAGCTTTCAAACTTATACTAAATTTTTACAAACATCAAGCAAATTTACCTTTTCATAGATGGTATTCTTATCGTTCGGATCAGCATCTGTCATTTTTTTATCAAGCATTGAATTCATCTTCCTTTGAATATAAATATTTCCCTGTTCTTTAATAAACCATTATTAATTGCTGCATTCCTCCCGATCATTTTTCATTTCGAAAGTTGAAGGTAGTTGTTCTACAAAGCTGGGAATAAACATGTAAAAGTTAATTTCATACAGACGACATAATGTAATTTAAGCACATAACACAAATTTAATGATATGCAATACCATGTAAAAATAAAAATCCAACCTAATGTAACGTAAAATAACATAACAATAACATGATTTTAGCTAAACTTGCGCAAATTCGCGTAATATTCTTGTGAATTTGCGTATGTTTATATAATATGACATTAGTTAAGCGCAAATTACAAATACACGACATAACGCCAACAAAAGTAATAGCACGTGTATGAAAAAAAGACCCAATGTGCAGTCATTTTAAACGATTTATCACCAAATATTGTTGTGCCATTCGGAACATTATAACAGGCCTACGTACACGTGCCTCACGTATAACTCTCCATGTCATATTCTAGTTGAGTTCCACCACATCTGTCTGCGGAAATAGAACAGAAAAACTCATCTACTTCCCCCAAGTTTAAAATCCCGCCTAGCATTTTAAGATCACACGCGGACGCAGCCGTACAAACGTTTCATCCCAGGCAGCCTGTCACGTCTACACTCATCAGTATAGTCGGAAATACGAGGTTCGCCACGTTTTTGCTTCACTCATCGATGTTCCTTTGCTGTGACATACTGTCATTTTTATAACTTACCACACTAGGATATGTGGATCATTTCTGGTACATTGTGGATAAATATCTTGTCGATCTGATAATATTTCCGGATTTGGAACTTACAGAGTAATGTTGTGATTTTTTATTACGAAATAAGAGGTAGGCATTTTGATCATTTTCTATTAAAATTCGACTTTTTTATTTAAAAAATTTAATTCTTGTTTTGCGAATAAATGATCCATGAGTCTTCAAATGATTATCTCTTCCTATCATCGGAAAAACGGGGATGAACAAGATTTTGAAAGATTATTCAAAATTCAGGTTTAGTAGGGATGTTGTTTTTCTGCTCTTCGAATTGTACACTTGATTTGTAATAGGATATATAGGATTATTCATAAGAATATTGACAGGATGGAGATGGAAAACCTTAGTAACTTCTGAACAGTATTTGTTCATTTGCTTAAAGATTTGTTTTATAAAGACAATACAGGATGCATCTTGACATAAGGAACTTGTTCCTGTCACCTGCACCACCAGGACCAATCGTGCCGGTACATGAACTTCTCAGGGCAAGTCTTATCGTTACCCTGTTTATCACAACGCTTACCGCTTGTTCCGTATGTTATTTTTTCTTGTTCTTTCGTCTTTGAAAATTTAATACTTTTAAGACCCATTAAATATTTTCCTGCACATAGTGGATCTTCGTGATCCTTTTCTGGATAAGATATATAATCGAATTATCTGGAAGACCGATATAAATGCAGGCAAAGAACAAATTGCAGTTATCTTAGATACGCAGTGGATGTTTTTTGTTCTTGTTATCTATTTTTGTTCTTGGCTCTTATTAAAATGAAATATACTGTATCATTCCTTTTATACTTTTGTGTTGACCGTATTGTCTAAATTATAATGCAATATTACTTTAAATGCTAATAAGGATAATGTGGTGACATAATATTTGATTATAATTTATAGTTTGCATTCCTACTTCGCCGTATAGCGAATACAACTACCGGATTTTTGCCAGCACTTTCTTTGATCTCTGTGTTTGGTGGTGGTGTATTTTTGGCGACTTGTCTTCTAGATCTATTACCGGATGCAAAGGAAAGTCTTGGAAAAATTGAAAAGATGCAACAGATCAATTATTCTTATCCAGTTATGGAAATTTTTGTAGCCATTGGGTTTCTGCTGGTGCTTTCAACTGAACAGGTAATTTTTGATCCTGATTCAAAAGTGAGCATCTATGATTTTTCCGATGGTTATTCTTATTTAAGGATAATGAATCTCTAATAGTAAAATTTCGAGATATCTGGCAAAAAAGAGTAGTCTGATTTTTCTCATAGTAAAAATTTTATATACGTCCGTATCCCTAAAGTGATACTTTGTTTTCCGGATCCGATTGACTGGTGGGAGCACTTTTTTCTCCGTAATAATCGGTCAGTATGTAGTATAGAAGAGATATGGAATCCTTCAGAGAGTATAAATGTTTTCAAAAGTAGATTATTATGTTTATCCGAGAAAAACAGCAGCATGGTTCCACAGATATGGAAAATTTAATCACAGGACATGACAATCACAACGAATCAAATTCTGAACTCGTTAATTCTCATTCTCAATACGGTTCGTTATTTGTATGTACTGCCGACTTGTTTCTGGCCCACGCTGTAGAAAAGTTTTAGCAGTACCGAATGTTTCATTAGAAAATGAAGAGTTGTACTGGAAGTTCAGGAAATGAAGTTAACCAGCAGTCACTGACGCAGTCCCAATCGACAGCACGGATTATTCTGCTAGTGATGGCACTGTCGTTACATGCTATATTTGAAGGACTATCATTAGGCCTTGTTGGCGGTGCAAACGAAATTATGCAGGTAAAGACTCACTATAAAGGTTCAGTGCTTCATTTTATTTTGGAGTTTTGAAGAATTTATGTATGCTTCGTTCTTTTAAATTATTACAGAATATGCCTACTCTTGTTTTTTCATAAGGAATAACATTAAACCAAAGTATGCATTATCCATTGGCCATCTTCCCAGAATTTACTGATGTTCAACTGCATATATGTAGATTTTCTTCGCGCTGCTTCTGCACAAAATAGTTATTGGCTTTTCACTTGGAATTCGTCTTGTGCAGAGTGCTCTAAGTTTTACAACGGCATTCCTGTGTTCGACTATCTTTGCTGTGCAGATTATTATTGGAGGTTTTGGTGGCATCGCTATTCTTGATTTCGTCAGCCGCGGGTCGCCGCTTATTGCTGGCACAGTTTCTTTCATTGCACAGGTAATTCTTCGTTACATTTGCTGATATCAGTACTTAAAATAGAATTTGTCTGTTTACATTGTGACTAATGTCTGTTACTTAGTGAAATATTTTAAAAAGGCTCATTTTATGTTTCACGCTGTATCCTGAAACGTACGAACAGTAGGAAGTTCTTGAACGTCCTTAGCAAGCGATATTATCACAGAAGAAAATCAGAGAAAGCAAAACCTGTAGATCAGAGTCAGTAAATTATTTGAAGAAACAATATCTGATCTCCCGACTAATTTGAACCAATATTGACAGGCAACAGCGTGTGGAACATTTCTGTACATAACTTGCTTCGAAATATTACCGCACGAATTTCATCAACGCCAACTTCGTATCGCAAAACTTTTTTCATTGATTGCTGGATTTGCCGTTATTGCGAGTCTGATAGCTTTATTTCCAAATAGTTAAAGTAGCTCCAATATAGAAGGTCTCGTACTGTGAAGTTTATTATTATAGAGCTTTACATTGTATGGTTCACCTGATTGATACGATATAGAGATCCTTCTGAACATTAACGATATTTGTCCTTGTTTAATGTATGCTTAATATACGGCTGCATCTACGCGAAATTTAGAATAACTCGAATCAGCTACTAAACATTAACATTACATGAAATACTCGATCACAGAGAGTAACATGTATTCTTATTGCTGTATCCCGTTTTCTATTAGGCTGTCAACTATGCTTACAAAGTTGAAAAAATATATATAGTGAAAAAGCTACTTGAGGACTGTTATTTATACATCGACAATTTATCATAGAAACTTATTTAACATGGTACTAATAAACAATGACCTAAATAAAAGAACCTTTCACCACTGAATATCATTATTTTATTGTTAAAGAAATCATACGTTATTGATCAAAGGACCATAACACTAAAGAATTGTCCAGAAGATCTGGTGAATTTGTATCTTCATATGTATATTCTGGATCAATATCATCCATTTGGTCCAGCTCAGGGAAAGGAAAGACTCTCTGTCCACTGCAAGTGGCTACAATTGGCCATTCCTTATGGATGCTAAAAAAATTACTGTTTAACTGCTGCCAAATCCTCTTGAGAAACACTGTCGAAGCATGTGACATCTATCATAATGCCCCTTTAGTCAATTATATTTGAAATTAGTAATGTAAAGCAGCGGTACTGATTTCTTTCCCTTCTATGCATTAACAGGCAAAGAAATATTCTATAAGTAGTGACACAAACCTTACACCACACAGTGCTGAATTATGCGCCGGCAATCGAACGCATGGAGATAGCGGTTCATCACTGCTAGCGCATTTCAAATCGAAGATGTATAATTCACCGTTGCTACTGCCACTGAAGAGATATGTTCCTGAACTGAAATTTGGACATTTTAAGAGTTCCATTCTTTCTCTGCTTTTTTTCTCTTATTGATCTTTCAACATCTTGCTAGTTCACGAACAAAACATCTTTTCTCTACTCTTTTGAGGTTAAACCATTAACGGTTAGCAATAACCACCTGTCTATGTCAAAGTAGATGCGCTGATTGGTTTTAGAAGGTCGTCTATATGAACTGTATATTTTTCCAGGATATCGTAAGTCCCAGCATATAATATCATCATCCTGAAATGAGACGGACAGTTAGGAAAATGCTCAAAGAAAAAAGAAACAAATACTTGAGAGGTTATACAAATTCATACTCCACTTTCAATTCTGACTCCTCTATCATCTAAAAATCCCTTTTTCATAAGTTGTAAACTACGGGGAAACGAATACCTTTCTTCCCGCTGTCAGTACGAAATTGCCATCGGGAGTATAGCGGAGTAAGGTTACTGCTAATGGGCATTCGAACATGCATTCCACACTTGGTGAATAGTCCGAATAAAAACCAACTGAAAAATGTTCATATTGCTGGCAGTTATTTCAAAAATTCAAGATTATCACTATTGCGCATCGAACGGTGTAACACTTTTTTTTACCAAAATTGAAGAGAAACAAATTCCCGTCTGTACGAATCAAAAAGTTCAACCTGTTTTGCCATATGACCCAGCGGCATAATTCGTCGGTAATATAGGACTGACAGCAATGCATGAGATAATACCCTTCTGCCCCTTCAACTCTTTATCTAAATAATATGAAAGCGAATAAGAAATGAATAGTTCAAGGCAGGAACATTTATAAAACTTCACAGTTGAGACCTTTCTTGGGATATGAGATTTAGGACAACAGTAACTGACTTACTCCATGTAGTTAGTTCGGAAACTTGATGCCCAGGGCGATTCATATCAAATTTCCTAATGCTGCTTTTGTAACCAGCATACAAACAGGATCCGTCAGTAGTAAAACACAATGAATGGGCATTGTCCAACTCATCCTATAATTTCTCACTGCCAACAAACTTTTCAATCGCCTACTTGAATGAAATGGTTTTCAAAAAGAATTAGTCGAGTGACAAATAAAAAATGATAATGTACTTAATTTTATTATCGAATACGGCTGTACTGTTTCCCGTATTCAGTGCTTCGTTGAATGTATTATTCATAATATTATCAAAACCCAAGACTTACCAGATTATTAATGCCACGAAATGTTGTCAACCGTCTTCCGTCTGAATCCCACACATGGATCGGATGGTCTTTGCTACTTGTTACAAGCCAGTCACTAGTCGGATGCCAGCATGAATCATAGATCAAGTCACCCATACCCATCGAAGATTTCAGTTTCACCTTGAAAAAAATTTTAAAAAAGTTTAGGACATAAAAAGAAATACTTTTTATGCTTTAATTTTTTCTAAGCATAAATACTTTAAGTTCTACTCAAAATAGCATCTAAAATGTACATATAACATTATTTTGGATACAAAGTAAAGAGAAATGCAACAACAAACAGATGCATATCAACCTCGAGCTTTTGAGGATCAAAGTGAAATATCCGAGCTATTCTATCCTGATTAGCCGTAGCTAAATAACTACCCGAATTGCTCCATTTACAGCTTTTTAAGTAATTATTGCACGAGTCAGACATACTGAAACCGTAATCAAGAGCCTTCGTTACGAAGAGTTCCCTCTCCCTAAACACCTCTTTGAAATTTGAATACTGCAATCGAGCAATCTTTCTTGGTATTTTCTGATCATCATCGGTCTTTCGACTCTGAAAAATTCCTTTATTTTCTGTATGCCTCTTCAGCTTTAAAATAGTAATAATCTAAGGTTTGATAAATGACAATAGAAATGTTCCCAAAAAATCTATCCATGCAATTTAAAATGCGCTCAACTGCAGAAAAATATTAAAATATTAATGATTTCGCAAATGATATAAAAAAAATTGGGAAAAAAAATCTGCACAGAAAGATTTAAATGATGAGTTAAACATCAACTGTAATAGCTGTTAAACGCTATAATTCTTACCGTAATATTAGTTGAAGAAATATTACCAGTGCTTTTTTCTGAGAGTGCACCCACGTTCCTTTTTCTGGAAGATACACTATGCAATCGAGATTCCTGAAGAAATATAGAAGAATCTCCCATAGAGACTTTTAAAATCAAATGTTAAAAAATAATTAATATAAAGCAACGACAACCTGCTTAAGGAAGGCAGCGATACCTATACGATAATATCTCGCTGTCCAGTTGTCATCACTCTCCTCATTCACAGATAATGAATCCACGGCAACATCTTTGCTACTGGAACAGGTGGGTTTCTAGAAGCAAGTATTTCAATAAATCACATAACAAAACTTAGTTGCTAATTCGTCCATTTTTACGAAATTTGAAATACCGCCGACGTATGTCCAGCGTAACTATTCACAAGCAATCTCTGTACTTTAAAGCAGTGCACGAATTAGTCAGAAAATTAACTGTTGTCGGAAGTTCAATTACAACTCTAAAGTGTAATTACACGAAGCTTCAAGAAAAATTTTTTCCACTGGTTTGAAAATTCCGGATTTTGCCGACCTGATTTTAACATAATCATTTATGATCATCATACACAAATGTATGCAAAAATATATATGGATTAGCAAGCTTGAAAAAACCAACCGTGTAGAAAGTAATAGTAGAGATGAGAATTACAACTAGAGATACCTCCTACACTCATCAACAGATTCTACTGTTCTGGCAAAATCTGTCCCTAACCTTGGCATCCTCATAATCATTCGTCGCTATCACGATATCAGTTTCCAACGTGCAGAGCATATCGATAACTTCTTTTACTATATCTTTTATCGATTCGTCTTCACTTCCACAATACATTATCGGCATGTCTCTGAAAAATTTTTTTGAAATCATAAAGATTTAATCCATTTGTAAAATTCACAGACATATCATAAATATTTTAATGGATACCATAAATGCTAAATCCGCGGCATAATATCTGCGTATTATCCAAACTGACTATCCCCTTCACCTTTCTATAGCATACTACGAGTGGAAATATATAAATTTCATTTCTGAACAGCATAGAAGATGTAAATGATTAACTCTTTCCATCTGACCAATTCAACTGCTCATTCGATGTTATACAAAAATAAATAGAAACAAGAATGAAAAAGAAGCCTGACAACGTAAAATTAACTGATTAAATGAGAAATGGAAGTAAAGTAATGTTGCAAACGTGAAGGATATAATGAAAGCATAAAATTTGTAATCCATCAAAACACATACCAAAATATAAATTTAACAATTCTAAATCAGATCTTTTCCTCTATATTATGGTCAAACACTATATCATTAAGCAAATCACAATCTATTTGTAATCCCCTCCTCTCTTACAAATAAAAGTTTTTTTCAACAATAAAAGGAAACGCTGCAAGTGATAGAAGTGTGAAATGATAAAATAATAAGTAGCAAAATGTGCAACACACATTCGATGCACCAAATTGAAATCTTAAATTAACTAAATGTAATTACTTATAATTTAGTTGAATCCAAACAAACTGCCCATATAGAGCTAATAGTTTGACGTGAGAATTTGTGTGCAACACGAAAATACATCATTTCTTGACACCAAATTTCCCATACCACAACTCCTTACTATATTTTCTATATTTAATTGCATGAAACGTTTACTTATATATATTCTCCGAACTTACCCTCAGTTAATATCGCCACTGACCTCAACTTCAATCAGCACTTCTCCAACGTAAAAATCAAATCACTCTAAACGTCACTCTGCCCCCACTTTCTTCTGTCCTTGCTGGTATTTCGCGGTCCACGTAATTCCACGTACGCGGGAAATCATCATTTGAAATTAGCTCTACGGGTAGGTTGTACTTTTTTAGCGGATAGATTGGGCAAGCTTTCTTTTTTGAATTTTCTAATTGCTACAAAGTATGGATAAGTTGACGTGACGTGAATTAAACTACCTTTTTTCAGCGTGCATAATGGCGGAGGACGATGAATTGAGTACACGATATGCCTTCTTGTTGCAACCCATAAGAGATTTGCAGAAAAACTGGGATATCGATATTAGTCATCTGTTAGAAGAATTCGTTGAAAGGTACCATTTTTTATTTATTGTTCCATCGGTGCATCAATCGCCTTCCCATACAGTGAGTAAAAAAGATGATTGGAATTATTATATTGCGATCAGTTAATGAATTTTGTCAACATAATGCATTATAAGGTACATAAACTTTTGTCATAAATTTTCAGCTTAATAGTTCATCTTGCTGAAACAATTTCAGGATACGAGAATTAAGCGAACAATCGGGACTAGATGATGAAGAAATTGGTGAAGAGGATAAATTTAATTTTGCGGAAGCAGCAATACTTATTCAAGGTTCCACGATGGTATATGGTAAGAAGGTTGAGTATGTTCACGGACTTGCAAGGGATTTCTATGAGCAACTCCGTGATAAGAAGACTTTTCGCAAAAGAAACTCAGGTGATGAAATCGGTTAATTTCAATCATTTTGTTTTTTGATCATCTTTGTTATTAGTTCATTACATAACCTTATCCATAAACGAAGATGCATATTAGCTTTTGGCAAGATGTAATCTATAAAATGTTGCATATTAGTATATGACCGAATCGGCAGCTTTATTAATTAATTTGAAGAATTAACAACTTGCTAAATAATCAGGTCGTGGGTAGAAATGATGATCATAGAAACAATAAGTGAGTATAAATAATGTTCAGGAAGAAAAATGATGATATCATGGCAAGGAAAAATGTTGTAATCTAAAAGATATTAGTGATGAAATGATCTCTATATTGTAGATAATATGGAACACGTCGAAGATGACGTCGATGAATATTCACAAGAACCGGATGATCCTTGTGAGCTTATACAATTCACAAATGTTCGAACTGTTGATTGGAAAACACTTATGTTGAAAAATGAGGCGAAACCACCTCCCTTACTTGCACAAGTTTGTTTTGCTGTAAAATACTAATATAGTGGATAACAGTACTTAATAATATATGAGATACCCTTCATTAGATATCTATTTAGGTTTTAGTCGTTCAGAATAATTTGAAATGATGATCTGATTGGATTATATTAACGAAGCATATAATGTATTATATAAAATTCGGCGAATTTCCAGATACCAATCTCATTGATGCCCCTTGCTGATTTTGAGAAAACCAATGTACCGTTGTACTCATCTCGAAACCCTAAAGAATTGATCGGAAAACGAGATGATTTTATTATCAACACTGGTTTCATCCATGAAAGTGTCAGTTTTGCTTCCTTAAATAAACTATAAATGTTAACTACTTTTCCAGGATGTATGTCTCTGAGAAGGATAGGAGAGAATAGAACGCCAAGAAATCTTTTTTTCTCACTCAAAAAATTTTCCATTGCTTTTAACAACTACGTTTGGCATATGCTATTAATGAAATTTTTTGATTGATTTGGATCCTCAGTTTGCACCATCATTTGACTTTTTATATTCGTGAAATGAATCATCCTTCTTATGTCGTTTCCATCTTTGTTTCGAATAATTTAAATACCATTCGATTAAGGGAATTTGAAGCAGTTAAATTTTGTTCATTTGATTATAGTATATCTGTGTTTGATCCTGACAATTACTCTTTGTAGGGTGCTCTCTTACTCGATTTAGCCAATGCTAAGCTTTTGAATGATTTTATGGTGCAGGAGCAATGTCACGGTAGTTCTGGTAATGCTGATGTATTGATGCAACAGAGTAATGGACAGTTAGGTAATTTTTCCCAATAGTATTGCAGTGGTTGAAATAATACCTTTAAAAAAAATAATACAGTCATGATTGGATCAAGATATAGTGATGATAATCTAAAGGTGCAACAGTTGGATTTAGTTCTGTCAGGAATATAAAGGATTTCTGTCTGAACTTCTGTGTAAAATCTTTCAATGATATTAATCTTACCTTAACTTAACTTTCATTTATAATTGCTTTTTTATTCTATTTCTGAATATTCTTAGCTTTCTTCTGTAATTTATATCAGTAAATATTAGATTGGCAGTAATTTCATGCCGATTTCGGTGAAAGGTTAACATATAAATCTCCTTTTGAATGAAAGAAATAAATTCGGAACAGTGTGCTAATAAATATCTGTTGCAAATATAGCTGGCAACGAGCATGTTCGGAGCTCCACTAGTGAAGTAGAGAAAGTCCGACGCATGACATCTGCTACCAATCTGAATACGATGACACGCCGTGATACAAGTCATGTAGAGCTTGTTAGTGATGGTGATGTTGCTATAGATATGATAAGAAATAGTGTTAGCGGAAATTGTGTACAAGAAGAAGATGGCGAAACTGACAATTTCGGATTTGATAGACCTGCATTTGACAATGTTGTGGACGACAATGATGACGATCATCATCCGGTTAATCTTCTTTTGATAAATAAGTTTAACGGTCAAATGAGTGGAAAACAGTGATCTTTTTTCCACTAAGTTAATATATGTTCCCCACTTTAATTTTAGGTCTTAAGAATTTACTAAGGCCGGCAATAGATTTTGCTCAGTTAATTAGATTTATGTTTTACCAATATAAAGAAAACAATTTTCTTTATATACTTAGCGATGTGTTTCAAGTTATAATTGATTTGAGAAGTGCCCTGATTTTATTTTCTATTTATATAAAAAATTTCATGGCCAACTGGCTGTGGATTTACTAGCAGTTTTTCATGACATTAAAGGCATCTTTCCTAGAAATCGGACAATAAGAAGTTCTAGTAAAATTTCGGTTGTGGTATGGTGATGTTTAAAAATTCAAAATTTAATTCAAAGGACAGGCTGATGAAGAAGTATTCGATGGGGCAGATGATGAGCCTGTTATGGACTTGTTTCGGTTACAGAAATGCAAGCATGCGCCTTATCGGGTATTTTTTTTTTTTGACTGTTTTCTAATCGCTCTTAATTTGCACTTTTATATTTAAAAAAACCTTTTACTTCTTTCAAAAGGAAGAAAAATTTCCAAATTTCTAGAATATATTTCCGTATTCACGCAAGACGTAGTTAATGTTTTATGTAATCTTTCACTCAGTTGTTGTTTACATATTATTCGATCTTTTATTTTCTTAGAAGACATGTAGTGTAATTTGATGATTCTGGCTTTATTCAAAAGACGTTTTTTTTTTTGACATTAAAAATTATTTTTCAGGCTTGCAAACCTTCTTTTGTGCCGGAACAGATTGAAAAACGTCGATTAAAAAGGAAGGAAAAATTAGGCTTGAAAACTTATTCCATTCTTAATGATTTCCTTCAGCGGTATATTTATCACTCGTTGCCAAGAAGAACTGCACATGTGCTGGATGATGATTTCTCAGTTATTTTTGGAAAGTTAGTTTTTATACCATATATTCGACAATTGTCGGTAACGTTCCAGTTGAGCCAATTTCTTTTATTTGTAGGCTTATCCGAAATCTGGAAAAGTATCGGATGAATGTGATTAAGGAGCGCGCTATGCAGCATGTCGAACTGTATCAGCAATCAGGTAAACGTGGTTATTTTACATAACTCTTTATTTATGGAATGAATGGATTTATTTTGACATGCTGTCTGTTAAAGAACTGCAATGTAGATTTCTTGTTGGAATTCACTTTTATATGTGATGTTCAATCAGATGAGAGCGAAATGGCGGTTGATGAATATGGAAACGTTGAAGGTGCTTATTCTGATGACGAAATCGAAAATGCTGCCGATATTGTCGGTAAAGACTCTTTACTTCTCGTAAAAAGTACTACAAATAGTTTTTTACATTTTCTTTAGCTCTCTAATTTAGATGATGGTAATCTCACTTTTGCTAACATGCCCAATGATGCTTTGGAAGATAGAGTTCACGTTTCGTCGATGTATATGAATTTTGATGATCCAGATCTTCTTTTGAAACCTGCGGAACAGATGACATATCAGGACTTGCTAAAGGTTCACTTGCAAAAGTGAGGGAATATTTTTTTCCGAGAATTAATGAAATTTATTTCTGCTAGCAATAAACTTGCAATTTTCTGATGCTTCTGTAATTTTTTGAAAAAAAATATCATATAAGTGTAAGGAAGAGTTCGTTTAACAATTCGACTGATTTGTCTTTTACCGGACCAGCCTGACTGCTGTAAACTCTCCAGTAAAAGATTGAAGATTGCTACAATTTGTTGGCGGGTAATTCCTTATCTCCATATTTTAGCACTGGGAAATTTCATCTTATTATTATTATCTTATTATTAAGAGATAGAAACATGGCATTCTAGCTCATATTAAAATATATTTTCATTTCTAATGCAATGCACTGAAGCGAGATGCATATAGATATTGGTCATCAGCGGAAGAAACTACATCGAAACTATGCAAGCGCGTGCAACAATGGGAGGAGAAAATTCAACCATTATTGGAAGAAGAAGAAACACGTCGAGAATTTAACATACATCAGTATAGTACCGAACTTTTGGAACAATATGAAGGCATCGGGCAGACGAAGACTTTCGCCGAGGTTACTGTTAATCTTATTAAAACACGAGATGATTTTAGTGTCGTAAAATGGTGTTAAAGATAAAGATACGCAGTAGATGATGCAAAGATATTAGTAAACAGACCTCATGAGAAGACCAAAGTAAAGACTATCATCGAAAAAGAAGAATTCAACCTTGTTGGAAGAGGAAACTTGTATTAATCTCGTATCTTATGTTCTTTCTCTAATGAAGTACAGAATTTGATAGTTATGGAAATTCAGAAATTTGAGAAAATGAACGACTGTAATATGCTTAAGATATCCCGTCTTAATTTCATACAAATTTTTTCAGAGAATTGAGATACGATATCTGAAAATTCTATTATATTAAGTGTATTATATACCTAGATTATATGCCTAGAAAGTTCTTCAATAAAATTTATAAATAAATTTCGTGTATTGGTTATCAGAATCACATTTTATTGATTCGAAATGTTTTTTATTTTTCAATCATTTTCCTTGTTTCAGCTAATGGAAAATATAAATACGCAGTATGATATAAGTCGGTACTGTTTAGCATCATTAATGCTTGCAAATACTGGAAATATTGAAGTGGATTTTGACTGCGAAACTGTACGCACGAAGGATGGAAGAGGTTTAGCGCTAAAATTGCTCAAAAAGGAGCGTCATCATCAACAATTTTCGGAGTCTCATGCACTCTCTACCTAAGCAGTAGGCAAAGTCTCCATGACAGTTTTCCATTTAAAAAGTTTTCAGCATATGCATATTTTCTATATGTTTTTAAAATTTGAGAACCTTAAAAGAGAACAATCGAAAATAAAATGTAGAAAGGAATTTTTTTCTAAACAATCTCATTCTCTCCATTTTTTCGGCAGGATATCATTACATTGTATTCCAAATATTACCTTAGTCATTTAAGAGTTGGAAGGAAAAGTGATCTTCCTAATATATGAAATCTTTTTCTTGAGGTAACGTGAAGGGCTTGTTACTTTATCTCTTTAATTACATCAATACAAATAGTATCACTGCTCTTACGGTATTTTCAATCCAACCATTTCTCCGCATTTCGTTTGTTGTTTTATATATGTGTTCTGAATATTTATCGTGTCATTTCATGAACTTCATAATGATTTATAGTTTTTGTTATGTTATATTTGGAATTTGGCGAAATTGCAGCAGTCAGTGCCCTGGATCGGCAGGAAATCATTTTTTATATTTGGTTGATACCACATTTGTCACTAACTACTACTTTCTATGGACATAATTATGCTCAATTCACACTTCTCTAGCTCATTGCGAAATCGGTGAGTTAACCGAAAATGATAGCTTTTAGCTGTAATATCCTTTTACGTTGGTGATGCATCTTCTTTTCTTCCGGTTATGAGAAGCAGAAATATGTGGACTGATTGCATGAAGCATACAAGAAAAATAGCTATAAAATTATTATCTCAGAATATCTCTCAATTCTGCAATAATGAAAGAATCATTCCAAAGTATTTATTCAGTTTGCCCATAATAAAATATTCATGAAATTAGTGTTATTCTGCTCTCTCTGAAAATGCTTTCGCAAAACTTTTCTTTCGTTACGTTTTGCGATCATTACTGTCATATTTTTAGTATATTATTTCCTGTATGTTGCTTTCGGTCGGTATAGAAACAACAGTAGCAATTGAAACAATCGGCAACCATATATCATATCAGAGTGGACCTTATTCTCGAATATTAACGAATAATATCTTTTTATACTTCGCCTTATCTGGCAGTTTTTAAATTTCTTAACGAGGCTAAATTCAATGAGGATATGAAGCAAAAAGGGTATGTGAGACTTCTCAAATCCCATTTGCTGCAATGATATTGGAAATGCTGAATTCGTTGCTTTCAGATTCAAATCATTAAAAAATTGGAAGATAACTTCTTATTTTTATTGTAATAGCCAAACTGAAGAGTCCTTCACTTCCCAAGATATGAACATACAAAATAATTTAAAATTAGATATATTACGAATAATTAGAACTTCACAGCTTCATCACTTGTCAATTGCAAATCCGAGCGGTGTTTTAATAATTCTAAGGCTAGTTCGCGTTCGATTGTTGCTGCATCGAACGGTTCGAGTAATGACGGCGTCATATCATCCGTTGTTCGTTTTAGCTCCTCGTACAGAAGAATTGCTGTACCCGTGGACTGGGATAGTATTTTTAGACATGATATGACTTCTATGAATTTCTGAAAAAAAAGTGTAATTGAAGAAAAAAACATTATTTAACTTTTCAATAATTCTGATTAGCGAATCGAAGTCACATACCGGTTCATCAAGAGTTTCTAGATTAACAGCGTTGATGTGGTGGCTGTAGAGAGAGTTAAGCACAGGAATAAGACTGTTCGTTATGTCATAGAGTATCTGAGCAGCTCCATACCCACTAAAATATATATAGTTAAGAATTTTAAGAAATCTATCATTTGGATATTTTCTTCATAGTGAAATCTATAATTTGTCTGAATTCAAACGCTTACAAAAAGTAAAACAGAGAATACTTACTTGAGAGATATGCTTGTAATCATTTGGAGCAACACTTTCGCTACTTTTTCATTCAGCATTTCATAAAGTTTAGTAGCGGAATGAGACGACACGGCGTTATTAACATGACCGAGCAATCGACGTACTTCTAGCAAAAATGGACAAAATGATGGGGTCAGATCGAACGGTTTGCTTGCTTCCCACGAATACCTATAATACATACGTGCAAACGGACCTTCCAATGGATATTTTTCTCATACTAAAATCTATAAATAATTGCATTTGCATTTACAACACTGCATAGTGCAATTACTCCTTTCAGCTCTTCTGTAAGAATGTCTACATAATAGATAAGCCTTGAGGATCTTATCCCTACGTGTTATTAATCATTAAAATGGAGCTGCAACCACGTAACAATAAATAATTTTAAAATAACAAACGTATTCATGAATTTTTGCACCTGTAATATCTAAACTGAAAGTTTAAAAAAGAATTACCAGTGTTCACGTTGATAACGACTCAATGAAACGTGGATATGCTGATAGAATGCAGATGTGAGATCTTCGGCCCTCTGCCGCCATAAATGTCTGTACATATCGGCTACATCTTCGAAAATACCACGAAAATGGGCTCTCTTCCCCAATGCTTGAATACGTATGAATATATCCACCTCATTCCATTCATCCAACACAAAAGCTATGTACCTACATTCAAATTTGTTAAGAATGAGGAGCCTGCATTCATATCACTTAATACCTTCATTGTAGTTCTAACAAAGATCTATTTCATACAATTCTGTGGCTATCGTTTATATCTCTTCAACTGCCTATCAGCCTAAATTCTGTCGTTTATAACCAGTAATTTGCATTTCTTTCTCTCAAAAAAAATCTAGACTATTTAATTAAACATACCATGCTGAATTTAGGATTTGAATGAAGGGTTTTTGCCATGGAGAGGAAAGTTGTTGAGAGATATGTATAAGACGCAATCGGAAATCATCCAACATAAAAATCTACAACCAAGTTAGTATCTGATATTGTCTTTTTCAAGAAGCTCATGTACAATAGTATTTGACATCCTAGATGTATGTGCTGATAATAGATTCTATTAAATCTTTTATATATAATAATGATGTATGAAAATAATGCCGCTAAAGCAATGGTAATTTTCAACATCATTTTACTTAAGCTCTTTTTCTAGCTCGTTATTCGGAAGACAACGTTTACCTGCACGTTCAGGAACTGCGACTGCACATCCATATTCTCTATCCAACGATAACGCTCTGTAATTGATTCGATCATCAAAAGAAATTGATCGGTACATTCTGGCACTTGCTGCTGAAACAATCCCTTATTTTTCTTTAAGTGTTCAAATATCAAAAAATTTCTACTGGTTATTAACTCAAGAAATATATGACTGTATAATACTATGTCAATGTCTGAGAAAGTGTGATATCGATTGTTCCAACAGCCCTCTCCGCAAAGTATATTTTCTACTCCTGCGATACAGCTCTCCCGTTCCAGCTGTAACCATTTCAGTAAATAGACATCTTCGCATAGAACGGCCATCACATTACCTGACCGTATCGGAATAGCAAGATCTGAAAGTCATTAGCTAAATATTAAAAACGATAGACATGAAATTTGAAAAAAAATCAAGTACATTAAAAACTACATGAAATATTTCCAATTAAATATGATGTTATTTTTTTTCCAGATCACACTCGAATAATACTGATATTTGTGCATCATGGAAAAAAATGATATTTTACCTTGCAGCTCGTTTTCAAAGGCAACACATTCATCAATAAGATGAGAGAACAGTTCGGGATCATCCTGTACTTTTGTGAGAACATTTTGCACCTTTTTCTGTACCAAATTTATTAACTCGTTCATATATTCATTCATCATTTCATTTTGCTCAGTCTTGAAAAAGAAAAAGTTTCAGACCGAATAAAAAAAGCAGTTCAAGAATTCCATATGGAAATACTATTTCAACTTTCCTAAAGATGCTTAATGCTTATTCTCTTCAGTTTATTCTCTCCAGAAAAAAAATCAAATTTTACCTTTTCCTTAAAGACTTGCAGCAAAATAGCGCTAATCAAGTCAATATTTGCTGTTATCCAGTTAAGTATCTGAGTAAAAAACCATTCTGGTTTAGATGGATCGTTTGTTTTCTGCTCCGTAAAAAAATGGTACTGAAATCGCCTCTCCAATGGAGCAACTAGTTCCGTCAAAATTTTCGAGCTTGAATGAAATCGATAAAGGCCTTGCAGTATGAATATGACTCACAGATAAGAAATTTCTTTTAAAATTTTTATTCTAAAACTTAAAATTTTTGTTATATAGTATACAGAATGCATGTGGAAAAACATGAAACCTTTTAAAATTCGTACCGATCACATTGCGAAATAACACTACCGTTATCCAGGATACTAAGACACTTTAACAAAGTGGCGATTTGCTGAATTAATTTTTGATGAGTCTTTGGATCAATAGCTTCTTCAAGTGGGTAATGAATTTTCTTTAACAAATCTCTGACACAAGCGGAAACAAGATGTTCTGTTTCACTGAGCAACTGCTTTCTCATTTTATCAACGTCTTTAGCCTCATTTTCATCCTGAATATCTCCGCGTAAAAATTTTGAGCACACATTTTTATACTTCCATTTTCTCCAGTCGAACCACTTACATTCAAATATACTAGAAATAGAAAACCCTAACTTCCTTTCCGATCCATTTCTAGACACAATCCAAGAGTTTCTCTATTTTAAAAGATGTGAACGTACCAACTGGGAATCCACACTGATGTTTTGTTTCAAAGATTGAATGTTGTCATACAGAGCAGAAAAGTTCGAGATATTTATTGCTTTCTTGATTTTTGATTTTGCAGACATCAGCTTGTAAGCGACTCTAAGGTAATTCAACTCCTTCATATGTTGCGCAATCCGTTCCAACTGATTGTAAATATCTGGCGCATTCTGAAACAAAAACTTACTGATATAATGGATGAAGGACAAAAAGATACCTCATCTATCGCTATGAATGCAGGTGCAGGAGAGTATTCAAACTGTTTACTTGGAACTCTACATTACAAAATTGTGATGATTAAAATGATAACTGGAGTTAACTATATAAACTGACCTGCTTAAGCAACAAAAACAACTGCTCCCGTTTATTTTGATAGTCCTTCAAAGAAACCTGAATCTTTTGTTTCAAATAAGCCAATTTCTCCCGAAAAGATCGCAAACGTGAGAGTTGAATTGGTAAATCTTCATGCATGTAGCATATTCTTTCCTATAACCATGGTTTTCCAAGCTTTTTTTCTTACTAACTAAAACAAAAGCACTATCCGTTGAATTTATATAACACACTACTGAACAGTAATCATTTATTCATCATTCATCATAATTGAATGCACACAACCAACCGCGAAGTGGTGATATCAACATCTTTACAGGGCTATATAGCGATATCAGGAAAATAAGCAACACACTGAAGATAGAAAAAAGCTAACCCACGATACCTGATTTAGATAGTTTTTACGGAACGATAACTTTTCATTTGCTTTTATTTTTATGACATTTGGCTATCACTCTAACATGCAATATAGTGCTGACATTTCTTCACACTATTACTGTTCTGATCATCACTTAATCATCAAAATGTTCTGGTCTAAATAGCCAAAATGTAGATATAATATAAGCAAGAAATAACACTTACTTGAATTTGACACTGTTCCGCATCGAGCTCATCCCGAATGACGCGAAATTCACGAAAATACTCATGGACATTAGTAGCAGGTAACTTAGCAAGTCTTTCTGCTAATTCCAAAACCTGCAACGTTCAATATATACAAAGAAAACGAAAATCAGGTAAATTACACTAATAAATTAGTACAAACCTAGATAATGGCATTAATATAGCAGTCTCTCTGACAGTTGAAGAATATGTTTGACGTCACGAACAATGCAAAAAGAACGTTTCGTCATTTTTTTATGTATAAAAATTTTTCGTTAAAAAATAAATTAATATATGTGAGACTGAAATTGCAAAGTTTTTTGTGGGCACAAATGCATGCAAATTAAACTATTTTATCTGCACACAAACACTTTGCGAAGACTTATAAATGTCCAGCTGAGCAAGGAAAGTTAAAAATAAGGAAACTCACCTGAGAATTCTCAGAAGCTATATTCTGCTGCACCATACCTTCAGAATTCATTCATCCCTCACACCCAAACAGTGTGCCATCGGATATCGAACCAGGCAAAAATCGTATTCCATTTGATTTGGTAAATTATTTTCATGACTGTCGCATAATCATCATAAACCTCCGCAACAAACCAAGTCTCAATTAATATCTTCGATGTTTTCTGTGTAATTTTTTGGTTTGATATGAAATTTTTAGTCTCGCTATTTTTTTTTCTTTTGCTGCATCTTTGTGCCGGCATTTATCTTCTAAAATTCGCTCTTCGATGATGTTTGATTGAGTTTTTTTTTTTTCACTAAATTAGTCTCTAATCTCATGTTTGTTACCAAATTTCCACTTTTTCTTAGAACTTTTCCTAACTTCATGATACCAAAACATCAACTTACTGTTTAATATTCTTTGTCTTACAGGTAAGTTTGATGTCAATTCATACACTTTCCTAATCAATGCATTTCAGCACATTTCCTTTCTCGATTCGTATCATTTTCTTCTCGCTTTATGGCAAATAATATGTGTAAAGACAGGGCTATTTTCGTAGGTGCAATAGGCATAAAAATGGGTCAGTCCAAGTTAATCTTTTCAAAACAATCATAATCAGGTGGAGCGGCACCGGGATAGGAATATTAAATTAAAACATGCGAATGTTATCATGAGTTTTAAATGAGGGAACAGTTCTGTCTGAGAAAACTTCTTGAAATATCCTCCACGAATCGGGACACAATGAGGACAAACAACAAACATGCCATCAGTTTATCGTTAAAAAGAATCAAGAGTTCCATTTAAAATTAATGAAGTAACACAGAACGGAGGCTTGATTTATCTGTGACACAACAAGCAATTTATCACGTCAAACATGTATAATTCTGTCATTATGACTGACATGATTAATTTTTTCTATAAAATTTCAAGAGATTAATTTACAAATAATATCGTACGTTATGGATAGTAATACTTATTGGTTATGCCAATTATAAACGGTCATGTCAGGGAAAAAATCTCAGGAGATGATGAATTTGTACATAATTTATATTATAATCTAGTCATTGTGTGGTGATACTGATTGATAATTGCAACACTATTCCATTGATGATTAAGTAGCAGAAATAATTTGTTATGGTGAATGTCTTCAATAGATTTTGACTTTCAAAATTTTTTTTTGAAATCTTTTGATTTTGAAATCCGAGAATCAAAATCCAAACTAAAATTAATTTTAAAACGAAAATTTGAGTTAAAATTTGTGCTCTTCATCTTATTGGACTATGAAAATGACGATATATCACGGAAACTTCACCAAATATGAATATTGTTTATAGTGTCAAATCAAAACATTTGACACTAAGATTTTTGACATTATAAGTCCAATAGGAGAGTCATTAATTTCATCATTAATATAGCATTTAAACAAGTGATTTTTGGCGCCCTGAATGAACTTCTATATTTATAATGTTGTATAAATGTGTTTGATATTCTATTCCACGATGAAGGATATCTCATTATTGTTCTTTTTATCCAAATATTATTGTTAGTCATTTCAGATATTAAGAAATTTCTGGCAGCTGAATGCAGTATACATGATGTTCCGAAGATCGTTTAATTTGTCATTCTGTGCATCCAGAAAGCCACTACCCTCTCTTAGGTAATCTGCCTTTGTAATCAGTTTTTTCTTGTATTCTCTTTTGCATAAAAAAACTTTTGAATTATCTTTATTTAGATTTTTTCAAACTCTGAGATGATTTGAAGTTTAATTACTGCTTTCCAGGCTGAAAAGTTGTTTGGTAAGGTTTAGTGTTTACGAAATTGAGACGCGGAATCTTCACAAATCTTGTATACAGTTTTTATATGACAAGAGTAAACTAGAGGAAACACTGAAAATGTTGAAGGAGCAAGCGACATTGGAGGAAAAAGAAGGCCAGGCACGTAAACAGGTTGGTACCCACAAAAATGGTTCATTTTCAACTTAACATCAGATTTCGGTAAAATTTTGTTAGGGAATGATTACTTTGTAGTTTCATTTGAATGCTGATATGACTTACGAATTTCACTTTTTTTATCAGACTATTATACTGAGTGCTTCATCAGTTCTAAAAAAAAGTATGTTATAACATGCCTTGGGATGTGTGTCAGGGTTAGTGAAAATGAGATTTTATACTTTGAAAGTACATCATGCTGCTTTAAAGATAATTAATATGGCTGGCTATAAAATTTGACGGTGCTTCCGAAAATTGGTTTTTAGAAGTTTAAAGAAAACCTAAGATATCTCTGAATGAATCTGTATTGGGGGTGGAGTTCCTAATTCAAAATTTCGGAGATGGTTTTGGAATTTCCCTCAAGACATTGTATAAAGGCTGTCCAGTAATATTAGGATTGTCCAGGGAATGATTTCTTAAAAATAATATCAAATGGCAAAATTTAATTTAGAACGCGACAGTTATTGGTGATTTTAACGTAAATTCAAAAAAACTTTTGAAATTTCTGTATTATTTGCCAATTTTTCAAGAATTTAGTATTTTAGATGATAGAGAAGGCAAAGCTACAAGTAGCTCTTGAACCCGTGTACATACGATGGCCCAGAGCTTTCAAACAGGGCTGCAAACATTACTATCATGGGTTCCGATTATTATTCCTAGAAATGCGATTAAGTGCCAAATATTTATGGAGATTCTTACGCAGAAAACCGCTGTTACGTCGTGAGCGGCAACAATTAGTGAGAACGCTTTCCGATGTGCTACGATTGATTCCGTTTTCTGCTTTCGTTATTGTACCTTTTCTGGAATTTACATTACCTCTCTTCCTGAAATTATTTCCGAATATGTTGCCAAGCACGTTTAAGGATGCTACTAAAGAGGTAACACCCTTTGTACTTTAATTTTTCATGTTTCAGAAAAATAAAGCAATTCTTATTCAAGGCATAAAACTAGTTTTGTTGGGTGTGGCATGCTGCCAGCCTTTTTAGAACGTTGTTTCATATATATAATAATGGAAGTGCAAGTGTTCAGTATTTTTCCCTTCTTTCGTTTTTCGTTAGGTTATAGATTATCATAGCAGCTTATTACCACGATGTCGTTATTTTAGCCTAATCTTTAAGAAAATTTATTCATTTTGTTTGGATTATAGGAAGAGAAATTGCGAAGAAAATTGAAGGCAAAATTGGAAACAGCGAAACTGCTTCAAGCTGCCATGGAAGAAATGGCTCTGTACAAGATAAAAAATGCTACAGATGATGATAAGACAGCCAGCATTGCTGTTGAATTCGCAGAATTTATAAAGAAGGTTTGCACCCGTTGAAGAAATTTTATATGTGTCCAAGTCGGAACTAAAGAGATTTTTTAGTTCTGTGTCATTTCAGATGAAATTTTCTAACAAATATTATTGAGAATCTTTGTTGATTATCAGTGTTATATTGTGATGAGCTCATTGGAAACATATGTATCTACGGAGCAGCATTATATAAAATTGTTACAATTTTCAGGTGCGTTCAGAAGGGAGTTACGTTACCAATAAGGATCTTCTTAAGTATATTAAGCTATTCGAAGATGAAATTACGTTAGACAATTTGCCAGCTAACACACTCCGAGCATTATGTCGTCTTCTGAATATCCATCCATTCGGTTCGCTTGAAATTATTCGATTTCAGTTGTCGTTGAAGCTGCGGGCTTTGAGAGCAGACGATCAGGTATTGTTGTAATAGTTTGTAGGAACTTATAATACTCTTTCTATTTATGCTAATCTTCTATTCGTTGATGTTTGCCTTCTGATATCAACTTACACTACCCTCTCAGATAAGGCCCACGATATTCGCTTAGTGCATCTTTCTATTATTACTGTGTTCACTGTACTATTTTTAGGTGTATAATCAATATGTCAATTTTTACAAAATTTCAGATGATATGCTAAAATTTTCTAAAAAAAATGAATTCAAAGATTTTCATATAATGGACATTTTTTTGTAAATGCACATTTTTGGAAAAAAAAAGTTTTTTTAGAAGAGAAATTTACAATTCTTTTGCTTTTTATTTGAGGAAATAGCTTTGGAAGGTGGGGTGGATACATTAACAGTGCCCGAGCTACAACAGGCATGTAGAGCACGTGGAATGCGTTCACTGGGAATGAGCGAAGAGCGTCTTAAGAAACAGGTAAAGTCTGTTTCTTCTATCAAACTTTGAAGCTCCAGAAGAATGCTTATTATAGTTCATCTTAGAATTTAATAGTGATGCTAAGATCCGACTCCTTTCAGTTAAAACAGTGGCTGGAACTATCGCTTAATGATAAAGTGCCGCCATCACTGCTGCTCTTATCACGCACTATTTATCTGCCAGAAGATATCACATTCATGGATCGTTTGAAAGCTCTAATAACGAGTTTACCAGATAGTAAACTTATTTTCTATCAAACAATATTTTTGATGAATTTTGAGATGAACTGCTAGTTTTAAATGTTCTCTTTCAATTGTAGTTTAAATCTTCAGATATCGCTGAAGAAACTCGCCAAAATTTGGCAGAGATTGAAGGTGATAAAGTAAGTTATGGAGCGAGGCTTAAGCTTGTACAAAATATTGAGAAAGCCATCGATTCTGAAAGAAAAGCGATTGAGGAAGCCGAAAAGAAGGAGGCAGCTAAGGTTAGAACTTCATTTCCTTTTTTATTTGTTTTGTATTGTACATTTTTCAGATTCATATTACAATCCATTATGAAAGAATACGGATGTTGAAGAGCTTGCTAATTTCTTTAAGTCTATCTTATGCTTAAGTTATCCCATCTTTCCTCACAACGAGGATTTTAAGCTTGATGTGGTCAACACGTCTGATATGCAGCATAACATATTTCATATTAGATCTGGTTTATCGACTAATTCACATAATATTTTGATCGTTTAGAAAGCTGAAGAGGAAAAGATAGCAGCAGCCGAGGCAGCAAAAGCGGCAGTTAGTGCACAAGTTGAAACTATGGCTGAACTCTCTCCGGAATCACCCCCAGTTTTGGAAATCGCACAACCAGTGACGCTTCAAGAAAAGAAGTCCGTCGTGGATGCAACCAGTAAATTGCAAATTGATGAAGTAAGGGATGGTTAATTGTGGTGTTGAAAACGAACTTTGGGAAATAAAAAGGGAGGACAACTTTTCGGTTGGAATCGAAGAGCCATATAGTTAAATTAAGTGCTATGGTTCAGATGTGAAAATATTTTATCATTCTCTCGCTTTTCCCGATATGTGTCGTATTTCGTAATAATTTTTTGCTTTTTCTTATATATCCATACCATATACAATTTTGTTTTAATCTTTTGGTATTTTTCAGGAACATGTGCAGTCAATAGAAAATGTTATCCATGGTAACGCGATATCAGAAGCAAAATATGACATCAGAGAATTGAAAGAGCAAATTAACGATCACAATGAGGTTAACATTTCTTATATTTAAATTTTTTCTCATTAAAAGGTTTATAAAACGTTGCACAATGCATATTTAACAATGGTTGAAGAGATTTAATTTTAGGATCTAGAAGAACTGGATTTATTAATGAAGGATTTAAAAGAACCTAGGGGAGCTAAACTACTTCGAGCACGTGTCAACAAAATGCTGGAAAAGGCGAATAAATTGTTAGAAAAGCTAGATGAAGATAGAAAAACTATCGGTGAAATATCTGAAGATGCTGCTGGTGAAGACAAAAAGATAAAAGAGTAAGTTTTCTGTATATTTAAAAAGATTACTTAAAATCAGTG